CAAAAAAAAAAGAACAAAAAAAAAACCCCAAAAAAAAAAAAAAAAAAAAAAAAAAAAAAAAAAAAAGTGGACCTAAAAAAATATAGTAAGGTATACTATGGAACACAGAACAAATTTCCAAGGTGAATGAATCACTGAGTATTAAGAAAAACACCCAATACTACTTTATTTATTTAAAAATTATTCCAAATATAATGGTTGCACATCCTACCAGACAAAAGTTTTAGAGATTTTTAAGCATTTCCCCCCTAAATTTTCAATGTAACTTCAGTTTTGGAAAATTAAGAAATACAGCTACTATCCAAACCCATCTCCTCAAACTCCACAGATCAGTGAGTATTAGAATGAGCAAAAGTACCGTACTTCCCTGTTCAATTAAATAAATTTACTATCAAATTTGTGTTAAATTTATAAAGTTCTTTAACTGCAAATACAACGAAAATTAATGTCTAACTTCTCAAGGTAAATAACAAATCATGCATGAAATCCATTTTGAAATTGTTCCTCAGAAAATTTCAAAAGCAGTCAACTGTTAAGTTATAAATGCTTCTGAGGAGCAGATAAAGGGCATAGATTTTTGGAACACATATTGAAAACCTGAATGCTCCAAGGAAGAAAGCCCCGATGATGGCTCATGAAAGGAAACCAAATACCCTGGCAACCAGAAGTTCCCCAGTCAGAAGCTTTTCTCCGCTCAACCTCTACTTTATCTGGCCTCAGATACGTCAAAAGGAACTGTCATGTGGAGACATCATGTTTAGTAACCAGGACTACGTTCAAATCCCAGGTTTATAATTTTCTAGAGAAGTAATCTGACAAAACTTCAATTTCCTTATCTGTAAAGTAACAAGCAGACTATCACCAACTAGTTACGTTAGAAAATAAAACATTTTTAAAAAGTGAAGTAAGAGTGAAATAACCCAAAGGAAACTCAAAAGTACCCTGCAGAGGAAGGCAGAGCCTGATTCTACTGCAACCAGCTCCACAACCCTGGGTTCATTATGTGGGTTCCACAAAATCAAGTCAGAAAATCCTTTCCACCTGTGCTACACCATGACTAACTTACCAGGGATGCCATTACCTGTAACACATTTACAAGTTTCTAAAATTACATTTAAGGCCTTGGTTTCTGTATCTTTAGGTCCTGACTGGTTTTCATTATGAGTAAGCTACCACTCATAACAGTAAGTAAGATTGTTTCTATAACTTGTCCAAGGTCAAATACAAAGTAGCAAAAAACACCCCAAACTGTTGTGTGCTTCTTCCTTACTAACCTGGTAACTATTTGCCTGCTTTGCAAAATAACTGGAAGTTGTAAGGATGCAGTCAGGAGTCATGGAGGAGTTCAGTGACCCAAGTCAGGTGAGGCTTGAACAGGGAAAACAGTTTCCTAACCAACTTAGATATTTCAGCTACTCAAAAGAAGGCTGGTGAAACAAGGCAGCGAGAGGTTAAAATTATAAAGAAAAAACTATTAACTGAAGCTAGGAAAAAAAAAAACAAACCTGCGAGATTGTTAAGTAACTGAGAGCAATTCATTCACATATATTTTAAGGAGCTGAAGTTGTACAAAATGAAATATTCAGTAAAATAACTGCTAGAAGTATTTGTAATTCAAACCTCACAGAAGTGCAAGTATTATAATAACTAAGAACACAAACAGGGCCAAGGATTTAGCTCAGTGGTTGTGCTCCCTGCCTCACAAGCACAAGGTCCAGAATTGGATACCTGGTACAAAAAACCCACACAAACAACTCGAGGTTACCCATAGACATGAACAAGGAGTAGTAACACGGTACAATGCTACCTTTAGAAATAAAGCACGTGAGGGCCAGAGATTTAGCTCGGCGGTTCGGTGGCCTGCCTTGCAAGCACAAGGACCCGAGTTCAATCCCCAGTACCCCCTCAAAAAAGAAATAAAGCACGTGATACAGATAATCCAAATGAATACCTAGTGTTAAAAATAATGTATACGAGCACACATATACATTTTCTTCCTAAATTAGTTTGATTCACACAAATACCAATATGAAATTCCAAGTGGTATGAGTGACCAGGACAGATGGCTGAGAGACCAGGACTTTTAAAAAAATAGTTAATAATTACTACCTCTTTAAATCAGTAAAATTATAACGCTTTCTAACACATTCTTATCAGTTCCACACAGAACGAAACCAAGGGACAGAAAAAAAAGCAACATTTAAAGTCCCAGTGCACACAAAACGGGGTTAGCTCCTTACTCTTTCCATTAAACCAACCAATCTAGGCCTAACGACTGGCTTTGAAAGAACGGGTAATGACATGACGTAAACGCCAAGTACTTACAAAAAAAAAAAAAGTCCTAAGAGAAAATGGAGCAAAAGGTGAGATCACCTGTCACTTCAGTTCTATTGAGAGAAGTCATTCAAAACAACACCCACCCACCCCTATCTGGGATTGTCCCTCAGTGAGGCAACCTAGACAGGTCTCTGAAACGGGTTCCTGACTCAAGCGGTATAAAAACGCCACAAAATATCAAATAAAATGGAAAGCTGTGCAGAAAATACTGCATCTAAAATTAAGAACTAGATGAATCTTTTTTTCCTGGAATGAAAAACTGTCTAAGCTGATTTCCAAGAGCCTCTGCAAGTAAACCACAGTACAAAAGTTCTTAAGGCTAAGCCTCACTTGCTGAAGCCCTCCGCCGGGGGCGTTTCTACCAGGCTGTGACCGACTTTTGTGTTTCCCACAATAGCGCTAAACCGCTGTTGTGCACCGCGCGGATGAAACTGGACGCGGGGCACCCGAGACACCCACAGCGTCGGAAGAGCTCTCCCTGCCTCGCCGCGATAACGCCGTTCAGCGTGAGGGCCCGAGGTTTCGGAAGAGAAGAGGCAGCGCACACACCCCGATCGTGCCCTGGCCGAGGAGGCCGATCGCCTCGCGGGCTCAGGAAGCTGACTAAACAGGGGAGAGCTCCGTGCCCTTTTCCAAGAAAGGGAGCGTGTGGCTGGCAGGACCACAAGCAAACACGGAAAATTCATTATGAATTTCCTGCCGGCCTACCGTGCAGACGCAGGAGCCAAGTTAAGACGCGGGGAAGCAAGTTAGCAAGAGACCAGAGTTTGCGGAGACTGGTAATGAGGCACCAGCTCCGGTGGGGGGCCCAAACTCGGGGAGCTCGTGCCTCCTCCTCGTGCGGCAGGCTCGGGCCCTCCGCCAGCAGCCCTTTCCTTCAGGCCGGGGGCGGCTCAGAAGACCCAGGCCCGGCGATCAGCAACAGAAAGGAGCCCCCCTTCCACACGGTTCCGGGACAGCGACCCGCCGAGCAGCCCCACGGCCATGTGGCGGGGGTCCCACTCCCGGCGCACGCTCCAGACGCGAATCTAGAGCAGAAGAGGTGCCCGAGGAAATCCAAAGGACGCGACGTTGGGGTGCAAGACTCACTTCCTTTGAGCTTTGTCCTTCTTGGCCTTGGTCCTTTTCTTTCGGGCCTGGAGCGCAAGCACTGCAGGAGAGAGGGATGGATGAAGGACGAGTACGGGGGGAGAGAGGCGATCAAAGTGAGAGTGGAGACCCAGCAGGGGCGCCAGGCCCGGCCGCGGGGCCTGCCAGATGGGCAGCTGCGGGGCGAGG